GCCGCACTTAGGGATTATAACCCTCAGGCAGTAGAATTCTCCTTTCTCTGTTGCCAAGGAAGGGGGGCTGAACCCCTTTTACAGAGAACACCTTTCTGCGTAGGCGGCCTTCGGCCGCACTTAGTGATTATAACCCTCAGGCAGTAGAATTCTCCTTTCTGTTTTGCGAAGAAAAGGAGCTGAACACCTTTTGCAGAGAACACCTTTGTATATTTTTTATGCTTACTGGGTTATATCCTATCTTCTTTTGTGTCTCATTCTTTTGCATATTTTGGAGTTTGACAGCTGAACTCCGCCATTTAATTTAAGGGTGGGTAACTCTGTAAATTTCGGTGTGCTGACTCAGTAACTCCAACTCACTTTAATGAGTCAGCACAGTGAGCTGGCACAAGTGTGCTATCGCACAATTGGTATGTGCATCGAAATTATTGTTGATGTTAGTAATCGAAATCGATTTAGAAAAGGTTATCCTTAGCTTCTATTCGTAGCTGGCCGGCAAAATTTTAGAAAACTGATTTCAACTGGTGAGTTCATTTGCGTATATTCAATTGATGGTTAGTCTCCTGATGCCATCTATTATGGTACTTTTTGGAAGATCGTATTATGTGAATGTGTCAGCTCATCAATTGAGTTACCATATTGACACAGTTCTAAACAATGCAGCCGAACCGAGCTATGCAAGTGTCAGCACATCAACTGAGTTACCATATCGACTCTGAAGCACACTGAGCTATACATTGTCAGCACATAAACTGAGTTACTGAGTTACAAATTTTTTCAGAGGTGAGAGATGAGCGTGCGGCACAGTTCTAAGAGTCAGCACAGTAACTCAGCACAGTGCTGAGTTACCCACCTCTAATTTAATTTGCATATGCAACCAAAGTCAGACGCGTGATTTTGAAGGTGTTTTTATTTAATGAATTGTGATGAATTGGTTAATATTAAAGTCGTAAAGCAAGTTATAACAAATTAAGTAAAGTGTAAAGTGAAGGGGAATACAAAAATATATTGGTGAAGTGGCTAATTTAAGCAGAATAGGGGTGATAAATGTACGCTAATTTCCGAATTTTACAAAAAAGGGCATATTTCAAACCCAATTTGTAAATAAATTAGTAACCAAAATTTACAAAAGTGAGTGTTAAAAGATTGCGTGGACCCTTGACTACAAGTGTGTGAAATTTTTTTTTGGATCGGGCCACCCATTTGGACGGAATAGCCCGAAATAGTTGTGAGCGGTACTAAACACTACCCGAAAAAGAAGCAGATATAAAGGGAGATAACGACGTACAACCGGAGCGACAAAATGGTGAGTAATAATTTTCATAATTTTGTAATCGCCAGAAATTAGTTGCAAATTAAATATATTAATAGAATAAGCGGCAGTGCTATTTGGTCAAAATGACTTAAAGCTGGCCTTGAAGGTATGCCGGTGCATTGCTTGCACTTAAGCAATGGGCAGGCGCAAGAGTTGCTACACGTAAATCCATGCCCATATATGGTAATGGTAAAAGTGCTAATGTTATGATTGGTGTTGTGCTGTATTAGCCGCGGCTTTGTTATTGTGGCCAAACTCGGAAGTGAACCAGTTTATTAGTCCAATGAAAAATCAGCTAGAGATCTTTTTTTAACACCTTTAATTGCTACGTTAAACCTTTGTTTATTGTAGAACTCTTGCAATTCCTTCATCTGGTCCGTGTGTAATGCTCCCCTCAACCCAAATTTATAATCGCGCGCTCGGTAATTTTGTCTAAAATACTACTTAAGCGTATTTGATTAATTTCTAGCCTTAGAAAAAACAAGTATTTATTAAGTTCTACTTAATCTACATGACTATATTTCTTGAACGTTCATTTTTCTTCTAGTCGGACGTACAAATGGACAGTGCGCTTGATCTGATGAGACGCCTGCCACCACAACAAATCGAAAAGAACCTAATTGATTTGATTGACTTGGCACCCGAATTATGCGAAGATTTGCTTTCGTCAGTGGATCAGCCGCTTAAAATCGCAAAAGATAAGGAACACAACAAAGATTACCTCTTGTGCGATTATAACCGCGATGGCGATTCTTATCGGTCACCGTGGTCAAACACTTACTATCCCCCATTAGAAGACGGACAAATGCCGTCAGACCGTTTGCGAAAATTGGAAATTGAAGCTAACTACGCTTTCGATCAATATCGCGAAATGTACTATGAAGGAGGCGTTTCCTCGGTATACCTGTGGGACTTGGAGCATGGCTTTGCCGCGGTAGTATTGATTAAAAAAGCAGGCGATGGTAATAAGAAAATACGTGGCTGCTGGGACTCGATTCACGTCGTGGAAGTGCAAGAAAAGCCTACGGGGCGAACGGCACATTACAAACTAACCTCCACTGCTATGCTCTGGTTGCAAACAAACAAACAAGGCTCTGGCACAATGAATCTAGGCGGCTCGTTGACACGTCAAACGGAACAAGACGCCAATGTAAGTGAATCTTCGCCACATATTGTAAACATTGGCAAGATGGTAGAGGAAATGGAGAACAAAATACGCAATACGCTTAACGAAATATACTTCGGCAAGACGAAGGATATCATAAATGGCCTACGCAGCGTACAGCCATTAGCTGACCAGCGACAAGAGGTAGCCATGAAACAGGATTTGGCTGCGGCGATCCTAAAACGTAACGTAAAGCCGGAATCGAACTGAAGTACATGTGCATGTAAAGTGGGGGAGTACGATGAAGTTGAGATACGCGAGTATGGAGATGGAAACGGCGAAGAGTGGTAACAATAGCTAGGGGTGGGATGGCATAAACGGCGTTAGCGGTATCAGAGCAGTTAAATTGTGTTTTTAAAGCATGCGCTGCATAAAACGCAAAAAAAAACCAAGTAGATGCAATTCTTTTAATTAAAAACAAAATTAAAAAAACATAGTAAATACAAGCGAGAAAGAAAATGGCAAAACAATATATTTGAAATTATCTCTTTTTTTTTTGAAATCAAAATAATCCAAATCAAGTCTTGGACGACTTATATGAATAAAATAATACTGAACAGTCGCACGTAACTAAGTGCTTAGTTTAAGTGATGTTTGCTTGAAAATTCAATAATAGTTATACAAACTGAGTTCACAAATTTTTACACTGCAGAATATACATACTTACTAGGTACTATATCGCGCATGCACGTGTGTATTCTTTAAAGTATGGCATTTACTTGCGTGTGCATAATCTTCAAAAAATAAATAAATTACCGCATCGAAATATAATGGACAAAACATACCATTAAAACGTAAACTAAAGCATTTGCATTATTGTTCAGTAGTCTTGATTTTTAGTAAACAATTAAAATGTAGTAATTGTTAAACTTGTTGAAATAGTTTGAAAACAAAAAACAAAAGAAGAGAGAAACACACTAAAAATGAATTAAATTAATGCAAATTTTGTGTGCGAGCTAAGTAATTATTATATAGTATATGATGTATCTTCAGTATCAAGCAAATTCATTTTATTTATACATACATACGTACATATGTACATGTGTACTTAACCCATAAAACGAACACAATATGTATTATTAAGCGCCGCAGTCTGATTGTCGTTTAGCTGCAAAACTAAAAAAAAAACGCTAAATAAAAGCTATTAATGTCAATTGTATATAATCTCTCTCCGCCCTGACTTATGCCCTCGTGCACGCCTGTGTTTTATTGTTTATTCCTTCTCAAACTTCATAGTATGCTATTTTCTCTGCCCAACCAATTAACAACCAATATTTAAGTTAGTGTGGTTTTGTAGCAAACTTTCAACCACTGCTGATTTTTAAATAATTTAAATAAATATATTTACTTAATAAACTTAAAAAAAAACAGCATATGTGTATGTATTACAAACAAACTTCTGTTTTATGTATTTACAGTTATAAGTTTATGCATTAGCTGCAATAAAATAAAGTCTATTTCTACATACAATAATAAATATTAGTACTACTATTTACTTACTGAAATTACATGCATACATACATATATACATTCATACTTTGCTTTATAACACAGCTGTATTAAAACATTAAAAACAAGAAAGATAAAACCCAAAAAAAATCTACTCCGCCGAAATGTCTGGTTTGTAATTTGATAATTTAGTTTGATACGGCAAAACAATTGTGCAAAATTTTATACAAGACGTTAATAAAAATTAATAAAAATAAAATTTTAAAAGCTAAAACAATAACTCCGGTTTTAAAAACGAAAAATGTTGAATAAAGTTGAGAAATCAGCCAGCATGAGCCCCAATTGCTATGTCCTCACCGATAATAGCCTAAAAGAAAGGCATGAGTAGCAGGTACTCATGAAATTTGATGTGTAAACATTAGGCTATTCGGATACATATGTATGTGTGTCCGTCAATTTAAGTAGCGTAAGTAACTTTATAAGGTATGACTTTGAATTAAAAAATAAGTTGCACTTGAAAAATTTTATATATATTAGGCATCTTAACATCTATAGTCAGTTAATCCTTAAAATATTGATTGGGAACCCAATGAAATATTGGTTTAAAAGAAAAATGGCCTATCCCAATTTAGGCTACTTTAATTAACTTGCACAGATATGTACATAAATAGGTTATTTTAGAATTTAAACCTTAATATAATTAAATTTTTATTAATTTTGTCGGGACTTTTTCAAAACCATTTCGATAATAGTTCAGGATAATTTCGAGACTAGTTTCGAACTACCCCGAAATGCTCCCGAACCAGTCCCGAAATTGTCTAGTAGAGGTTTTGAAAAGTCGTGAAATTGTACCGAAATATTATCGAACAAGTTTTGAAACGGTGCCGATATAGTCCCTTATTACTCCCGAAATGGTCCGGAACTAGTCGCAAGATTATGCCGAACTAGTGTCGAAGTTTTTCAATGGTCCAGAAATAGTATCAAATTGGTCCTGAAATAGTCGTGAACTAGTCCCGAAATGGTTCTAAATTGGCCCCGAAATGGTTCTGAACAGGTTCCAAACTAGAGAAGAAAGAGCCCCGAACAAGTCTAGAAATGTTTATTTGTACACACAAGAAATAATTACACATTTCTGCTGGGTTAACGCAAATTTTACCCATACCGAGTAATGTAATATACTCCGAAGAGATCTCCTCTGTGGCTCGCAGGTGGCATCGCATTAATGCTGCATAACTCGGTGTAGCACCGGTACATTTCATTAGTACCATAGTTCGCCATGAGGCACGTGGGAAGCTGAGTCCGGCAGTTTATTGCCCATTCAAAGAGAGGCAATGATCGCGGCAGTGAACTACGTAAAATACATCAGATCCGCTACCGAGACACCACCGTTCTTTACTACATAATAGAGAAGTATAGGCTCGAGGAAGAGCCTCCGCCAGGCACGTTAGTAAGCATGTTTTCCAATATATAGACGTGGTGGGTGGCAACCTTCCATGACTCTCGACCTATGAATGCCGTGATCAGAGCCCAATCACCACCTATCGCAGACACAGAGCTTCGACTACCAATCTAGATCCGCGGTACTCTGCCCCAGTTACTGTCTGGATGCTGTAGCCGTCTCAACAGTTACCTGTACAGATCCCAATACCCCCAATGAGTGTCCGGCATATGAAGACTTCACCCTATAACTTCTTCACATGTCAGCTCTATCCTAATAAACTAACACACCCCTCCCTTTTCTTCGACGCCGTCGAAAGTCGAAACAGCGCGTTTTCTAGGACTACCGTTAGTTGATCTTGACAACGGTTGATGGACAAACCAAACCAGGCGGAGGTTAGTGCCGCTACAACAGCAATAATAACAGGGTCGTTGGGAGTCTCGAGTACCACGTCGCAGCTTATACCGTGACATTGTACTCGTTAAATTCCCGATATATGGGAAACGTGTCGGAGGATATTGGAGAGTCTCACAGGACAATCTCCTTTCTATAATCAGTGGCAAACGTCATGGAACCGCCTCTCCTAACCAACCTGAATAAGCATCTGCCCATCACAAACCACTAAAACGGACTCAACAAAATACATAGTACAACATCACTGAAAGTTATCACCGCAAAGAGATAAGCGCGGATCTAAGCCCACATCGACCCCTTGGCAGCTCGACCCTCGTCGCGTTTGACCTTTCCAAAGCCTTCGATGCAGTTACCCACGCGACACACTTCCAGCACATCCCTGACTCGTCGCTTCCACATCGGACGAAGCAAATTACCTGTGCGGACGGCACTCGCAACGCTACGAGTAAACCATGTGGTATTAAACATGAAGTTTCCCAAGCAGCGTTCTGTCCCCGAAGCTCCACTAGCTGGGACTATCCTAGTGAGTTACGCTGATGGCTGCACCATCTTGGTGACCTTTAAAAAGATTACTGGCTTTCATTCGACCTTGCAAGATTTTTCAAATCCAGGAACCGAAAAATTTCTGCGGCTAAATCGCCCGCCACACTCTTCACAACAAAGACAAAGGACGTCAGGATAAACCTTATCGTAAACGTGGATATCGCCAAAACCTCACCGTTAAAACACCCAAAATACTTGGCGTCATTTTCGATAGCCTATTCTCCGAGCCGATCACCGCCAATTGTAATAAGCTGCATTTTATAGAAGCCGAGCTGAACCTTCGCTGTGGACTACACCAAATAGTAGAGTCATCGCTTGATGTTTAGCCTTATCCGGCGAAATATATAATTTGGAGTGCCCGCGGAAGTCGCTTTCGCCTCGCTTCGGGTCGAACGAGGCCGTTCGGCGACCTAAGCTACCCTCCGCTATCGCGCAACGTCAGTTGCATAGGCCGCCACGTTGGTAGAACAAATTTTTGCGCGATAAGTGGGGCTGCCTACCAGCAATTGCTGTGCTTACCTCTGATGCAAATGCTGCCTCGTGGTGGTGGTTGGCAGAACCACAGGCTTCGATTTCCATTATCCATTTAGGAGTAGACAGAGCATACCCTAAAGTTGCACCATCCAAGTCATGATCTGCACCTGAATTATGTGTCACATTCCAGTGTTCTGATTAACACGGAGTGAGTGTAAATGGCAAAGAGCTGCTGGTTATCCCCCAGAGCCCACAAACCGTATGGGGCCATTCCCTGTTTTACCTAAGCCCAAGGCAGGGTTTTAGGCGGCTCCATTCGTTGCACTTGTTGCATCTAACCGAAGAAAAATTCGGGTGGAGTTTTCTCTGGTTCGACTGGCCTAACAATTGCTAGTGCAGGTCTGATAAATAGAATAACATGGCGACCATTGCAAACACTTGCATCAGCATCTTGATCAATAAGCCCACCGATTTTGCTTCCTCGGGCCACCGAACCTACATCAACTTTAACAAAGCTGATTGGAACGGCTTCGCCACCCTTCCTACACCGATAGACACACGTTCTGCCGAACGCCAGTTCCGAAAGGTGGTCACTGCCGCAACGGCTCGCTTCATACTATCCGGACGTATCTAGGAAGGCCGCCCCAATTTCCCGACATATGCGGCTGTTCTAGCAACTGAGCGTGACCACCTACGCCAGGTCGATATCGGGGATCCTCGCTTAAAGGACCTTAATTTGGAGATTCGGTAACTGGTAAATCAGCATAAGCGAAAAAAGTGGGAGGAGCACTTGAAGACCTACAACTTCGCCTCTGGTGTGAGTAAGCTCTAGTCAACCGTGAGGTCCCTGTCTATAGCTAAATGTCGAGTGATCAAGAGGCTGAACAAATAGCCCAAAAACAGTGCACCAGTGAAAGCGAAAGCCTCCAAAGTCATGGACCTAACGGAATTTTCATGCTGATGTTGAAACATTTGGAGCCCGCGGGAGTAGCATATCTCACCGAGGTCCACTCTCATCATTCCCGATGTTTGGAAACTGTAGAGTGGTCCCACTGCTGAA